TGTGTTGCGGTGTAGAATTTACCATCCAATGTGAACAGAGGCATCAGAGCTGYGATCCAATTCACCCAAAATGAATTTTGTGAAAACAAATGTGTAAAACCAAACTGTGCGACTTTTGTGTCCTCACCGCAGAGCTGAAGCGGGTTTTGATGACGCCAGGAGCCACGCAGTTCACCCTGATGTTGCTGTGGGCCAGCTCAGGAGCCAGGTTCTGGGTTAGACCCAGCAGGGCCGTCTTACTCACGTTATAGGGCCCCAAACCCTGCAGAGAGGGGTCCAAATAACACCTTAACAAACCTGCTTGCATCTACAAACAAATTCATTTCTCAAAAAATGATGTGTTTTAATTAATTTAATGTTTTWTGTGTACTCTCTGACCGGAAACGGGTGGTACGCAGCCACAGATGACACAAATATTACGTTTCCTCCTCTAAATCAGAAACATAGACCTATCAGAACTACTGGAAACAGGTTTTATTTTTAGTTCTGAAAATTACTTCAGTTCATAACTCACCCTCTCTTCTCCATGTGGGGCACCACYAACTTTGTCATGAGGAAAGATGATTTCACGTTTATGGAAAGAATCTACAAAAATGAAGAAAAAAATAATAATAATCTGAGCTAATTAATAAAACTTAAAGGAAACAAGTGTTTTTATTTAGCTAATACTGCACATTTTGGTTTATAAAGAAGTCCTGGTCTTTTGTGTACCTTGTCCCAAACTTCCTCTGTGGACTCCATGATGCTTCCAAAGAAAGGGTTGACGGCGGCGTTGGACACCAAGATGTCGATGCCCCCGCACCGATCCAGAGTCTTAAACCAGAGACAGAATTTCYAAGTTAAGGTACAACATATCGCCCAATGTGACGAGACTAAAGACAGATTTTGACTGAATCACTGATATCCTGATGGATAATAATTTATAATAAACCATGTTTTGATATTAACCAAACTTTACCAGGAAGATCTCRGTAATCGATCAAGAACTGCTGGTTTAAATTGCATTGGAACAATTACCTATCTAAAACTTCAGACTCTAATTTACAACCTAACATTTATTGAAGGGTAGTGTTTACAAAACAAACAAAAAAGATTTCTGGTCAAACCTTTAAAGGAACAAGAGTACGTATGTGTTGAGGCAGACTCTCGGCTACAACCAACCAAATTTTTGCTCAGAATTGGTAAAAATGGCTAAGTTATAGCCATTTTTATGTAGGCTAAGGTTGATTAGCTGTGGCAGCCATCTTGAACTATGAGGACCTAAACTAACATAATTAGAAATTAAAGCAGAAATATGTAAATGGACCAATAAATTAAAAAATGCACTTAAAATTCACCAATTAAATTATAAAAGGAGAACTTTACCTCATGTTTTATAATTTAATTGAGCTATATTTATTTTTCCAGCTTAGTGCTAAAAAATTATATTTTAGAACATAATGTTACATTTGACTGTTTTTAAAAATATTTATTTTTCCTTTTACTAGTTTAAAACAAAAAGGCACAGGTAATTGTTTTCCTCCTTGCCTTTGTCTTTAACTAAAAAAAACTGAGGCGGCAGCAGCATGCACAGTATATCTGCACATGGATCCTGCTGCTTCCTGTCTGTTGACCAATAGGAGAGGAGCTGACCCAGGAAGACCCACCCACTTTAACATAACATGGCAGAAATGCATTAGGTGATTTATTTATTTAATGGTCCATTTGTATATTTCTGCTTTTATTTCTAATTATGTCACTTTCAGTCCTCCACATTGAACAGTACCAATTGTACATCCAGTGATTACTTCCTGAAAACTTCATCAAAACCTGTCCATTGCTTTTTGAGTTGACACCAACAATAAAAGGCAAAGTTTTAAACAAAGATCTCATTGATCTGTCAGTGCTCAAATTATGTTTTGAGGATGACTACTACCACACCAATCTTTAGCTCAATGTCTGAAAAATTATTGGAGTTAGAGGCATTTTTTGTGTTTTCTAAGGTAGATTAGCTGTGACGGCCATCTTGAGTTTGATTTACTCCAAAAGCTAATCAGTTGTAGTTGCACATCCAGTGGTTAATTTCTGAGTTTCATTAAAATCAGAACACTGGTTTATAAGACTTTATGCTGACACACACACACACACACACACACACACACACACACACACACACACACACACAC